CGTTTATCAACTTCAGCACGGCGTGGCATAGTATCTCTGGCAGAATACAAAGCATTCAGATTTTTTTCGAGTAGAGCAATCTTATTTTTCATAGCTTCCTGAGAAGGTTTTGCTCTCTGTTTATCTGTATTTTCATTAATTTCGCATTGTTGTTGTGATTCATTACCGGGTTTTATTTTATCTTTTTTCTCTTTTTTAATATTTGAAGGTGACTGTATAATGTGTTTTTTCTGCAGGTTTACAGGTTGCCTAAAAATAAAAACTTTCTATGGCTTCTGCTAAACATTCTCTTATCAAGCTACATAAATACAAAGTATGGCAATATATATGGTGGATACAAAACCCTATGACTTTAAATCTAATATGTTTAAACGAGCAATTCGTTTCGGTCACAAAATGCAGGGTGTTAGTTTTCTGTATATATGTATAAAACTAACATCCTGTACTTTGTGACCAATTGAAGAATCAATCGTAAGAAATAAATCTATAACATAATGAATATTACCTCTATACTTTGAGATAGCCCATAATATTTTCTAATTAGTAAAAAGAAACTTTTTGGCGATTTCTAATATTTCTAGTACTCATAGGTACCTAAAATGATTTCGTCACTCACCTTAAATTTACTAGTTTGGATTTATTCTTAGTCGCCGCTTGCAATTCTTCTTCGATTCTCTTAGATACAATAATATCTAGTTCCTTGTCGGATTTTGCTTGTAATTTGTAATTTCGCCACACTTCGTTAACTAACTTTTGTACATTTTGTACTTTCGTACTTGTATGAGATTTTTTAAAACTTTCAAACAATTTTTGGTATAACTTGGATTTGTCTATGTGAAACGACATCTTATTTAAACATTAAACTTTGGCTAATGGAATCAATGGTTAAACAAATATTAACTTGCTTTACTATGCTTACAATACGTCTACTGGCTATAGTATCCAAATGAAACAATACACTAATAGAGGAAATTTAGACAAGTGAACACCGCGCGGTAATTCCCCTACTCGGTTCGTTTTCAAGCAAAGACAATGTGATGGTTGCTACAACCCGACTCGGCACATAAATTCAAATTAAAATAAACTGCTGTCGCTAGTGGTTTTGCATTTGATCAGCAGTTGATGAAAGATGTCAATATGACACTTCAGGTAACGTTCCAGTCATATGCGCAAAAGATATTGATAATTTGATAATATCATTCCCGTATCGCGTTTTTGTGTGATTTGGAATGTTTTAGTTGAAGCAGGAATGTTCAAAACCTTTTAGGAGAGCTACAGTTGAAGCAAGAAGTATGAGAACCAATATAATAGTGTAGGAGCGATCATCAGAAGAAGATGTTACTTTTCACAGATCATTGATCGTAATGTATAATTTCTTTTGTTAATAATAATATAATAGTGTTGTTTGGTAGATTATTTGTAAAATACTTACAAAGGGTTTGTTTGTTTGTTTCAGATTTATTTAGCATTAATGCTACAATGTCCATAATATCCATATTACACAGTATATCACAAAATATATTATGTCTTCAAGACTGCATGTTTTTATACAAAATTTCACTACTATGAATTCTGGTTTTCCATGAGATATTTTTTCAATTTCCCTTTGAACATTTTCAAACAGACACATATCATTGATATCACTACTTAATACTTCACATTTTAATTTACTGTCTACGTCTATGCCCAAATATTTAAATGATTCGATTGACACAATTTTTTCATGATTCATTGTAAGATTTATCGTATTTTGATCTGAGAATTTTTCTGTTAGTATATATTTTGTTTTGTTTGTGTTTAGTTTAAGTTCATTTACATTTAACCAATTTATTACGTTTTTCATATCATTATTTAACAGCTCTATTGCAGTTTCAATGTGTTTATTTGATATATATATATATATATATATATATATATTAATGTATCATCAGCAAATAGTTGCATTTTGCAGTGTTGTAAAATATCAGGAATATCGTTAATATATAAAATAAATAGTAATGGACCTAATTTGCTATCCTGTGGCACAGCTACCGAAATGTGTTTAATGTTTGATGATGTATTGCTAATTTTAGTTCTTTGAATTCTATTGATTAAATAATCTTGTAATAAGTTGAATACTGAACCTTGAAGTCCATAGCAATGCAATTTCGTTAACAATTTCTCCCTGTCAATAGTCTCAAATGCTCTCTTGAAATCTAAGAACAATGTTACTGTGAACTTTTTTTCATCCAAATTTCACCTCCATTCTTCTACTACCATTTTAATTGCCGTTTCAGTAGAAAACTTTTTTCTGAATCCTGCTTGAAATTTTGTCAATATCTTATTTTCTTCAAAATATTCAATGACTTGTTCTAAGAGTTTCTCGACATCTGGCAGTATCTACAGTACATAATTGTAGAACATTTTAATTTTGAAGGAAATTCGCCATACACTAAACAGTGATTCACTAACAATAATAACTTCTCTCCAATCATGTTGAAACATTCCTTCATAACCATTTTTGAAAGATGTTCACTAGGATTTCTATTCGATTTCAATCTTGTAATAGCTTTTGAAAGATAGCTGCTATTTATTGTTTGGAATTTTCTCATAGAAGAATTACAAGTAACTTGCATGTGACATAGATTGATTCCACTATCTCATTTATACTTTCTATAAAATAAGCGTTTATTCGTTCTGCAATCAATATTTTTTGTGTTACTATACCATCTTCGAAGCACATTCTTGATAATTAATTCTTCCTACTGGGAGACACAATATTGTTTAGTACCTTCCACATCATTTTACTGTTATTTTTATTGGTATCGATTTTTTGTTTTCATAATATTTTTTCTTTTCGTTCGTAAGATTTGTTAAACACTTGTTTCTTGATTTCTTATATTTTATCCAATCTTCCTCAGTTTGAGTGATCATAAACTTTTTATAGTCATTCTCACGCGTCAATCTAGAGTCTAGAAATATTTGTGAAAACCAGAGTTTTTCCTTTGATATACCACTTTCCTAATTTGTGCGTCTCTCATGCAGTTCTCCATACAATCCATAATTTTTGAGAAGTGTCAGCTTCATTAAAAATTTCAGTGATATTGGCTTGTAAGAGTGACTCTCGTAACGTTTCAAAGTCAATAATTGTGATTTCTCTTGATTCTCTCTCATTAAACATATTTTCCACCTCGAAACATATCCACAAATGGTCGCTTATTTTTGGAGTATGTAAAACCTTAATACTCAAAATTCTGTTCATTGGTTATTATTAAATCGACCTTAGTTCGTGAAAAGTTTGTAATCCTTGTGTAGTCATTAACTTTTTGCAAATAGACCATGAAAGTTCAGTACTTGTTTAAATTTTTTCACATAAAAAACTTGATTATCAAAATTTATATTGAAGTCTCCCAAGTTCACAGTGGAGCCATTTCGATAATACTGTTTGTCACAAACACAAATATTACAGCTTGGAGATCTGTAGTAAACGTGTACATTGTAATTTTGTTTCATCTTCATTTCAAAATTAATATACCACCATTGATAATCAACAACTACAGTATTATGTGTTTTTACTTCAATCATACTCAGTTTGTATATTAATATGCCACCTGTATGTTTCGAAACTGTGTTTACTCTTATAACATCATAATTATGAATATCAATCTCCATATCTTCAATATCTTCTGTAATATGTGTTTCAGTCAGACAAAGAACTAATGGTTTCACTAATATTAAAAAATTTATAACTTTATCCCTGTGCGATAAAAATCCTTGAATATTTATATGGTATGCATTCCTGGAATATTTTTTGGCCTGTAATTGCTATTTGTCATAAGAAACTTTATTTTTTGATTTTCCATATTCGATTTGGACCATGTTGCACGTATAGTGGAAGGATGAGTGATTTATATCCAAATTTGTGTTGTACTTCAATTTGATTCTCTGCAATTTGGACATGGTACTTCATCTTTTGATATCGTACAGTTCTGAACCTGATGATCACTATTACCACATTTTAAACAAATACTGGTCTTGGTGCAATTCTTCGCAATGTGGTGAAATCCGCCACAGTTATAACACCTCAGAAGATCGTAATGCTCAAAAATTGTACAAACATCCATAGATACAAACAAAACTCCTGCTTTCATTACTGCTTCAAATGTCGATCTATCCAATCCCAAAATTGCCATATACCGAAGTTTCATTTTTTTGATTGCCAGTACTTTAATCGAAGCATCACTATTTATAACGTTGTTTCTCATTTTTAAGTCTCTAACCAATTCTTCATTGTTTAAGTCTTCACTGAAACCCACGACTTTAATCATTGGTATTTTTTTGTGGCCTACATTTGCTTTATAACTATGTCCAACACTTTTTTGTATTTCCAATTTTAACTTTTTGATATCATCGATATCCTTGCATTCAATTTGCAGTGCTCCATCTTTCAGATCATTTACTTTTTTAATAGACAAATTCATTTTTGCTGGATTTATATACTTGCTCAATTCCTTCTTTGTTTGCGTACAACTTTGATTTGTATTATTAGGTTTAATAACAATTGTATTTTTTGGTTGTGTTCATATTTTTAGTATATTTTACCGTTTTTTTTTTGAGATGGCAAAGTAATGTTGGTGTTTTCATGTGTAGAACTTTTGACCATGTCTGCATAAGATTTACTGTTATTTGCAGATGTTCTTGTAAATTCTCAATTTGTTTATTTAGTTTATCTATTTTTTCATATAGTTCTTTTATCAGTTTTTCTTGTATCGAAATAGTATAGTCTTTTATCTTTAAAATGTCTGTTACACAAAATCCTTTTTCTTCATGTGATACATTCACCTCATTTGCTTTTCCACCAGCTTCAGTCCCATCTTCATCAGTCTCCATATGGTTCAACTCGATATTTTTTTAGAAAGAACTTGACCCAGAAAACCTGACAATTTATGTCACTAATATGTTTCAAAATTAAATATCCGTAAAACTTCCAAAAAGTCGCTCCGATCACTGTTTCCAATTTACCACTGCTCACTAGTAGGCTCCATTACTCTAGATATTATCAGCAGCCGTTAAAAATCTTCTGTAGAATAAGCAGATTGCTCTCTTTTTAGAACTACCTAATGTGCTGTTAGTAGACAAGGGTATTATGAAATTTTTGCAATATGACTTAACAAATAGACGCAGGAGGCTGCATGTTACTGCATGTTGAAACATGTAATGAGTGCATAGTAGCCGCCAGCAGCACGTCTGTTGATTTAGTTGTATACGTACATTCGTATTGACAGTGTAAAGTGGGGAGTAAGGCATCGTGGTCACGTAGTGAGATAAGGGCAGTTTTACGGTATAACTTTACGCGTTGTTTAAGCATAGACCAGTGCTTAGAAGAAATGACGCTTGCATTAAAGAATGATTGTCCTCATAGTACGACTATATTCCGGTGGTACAGAGAATTCAAAAGGGGCAATTTCACTCTGGAGGACGCTGACTGGGAAGGAAGGCCGAGAACGTGAGTAACAGAGGAAAACGTTACTGTTATGAGGAATATGGTTGACGAAGACCAGAGAGTGACATACCAACATATAGACGAGAAAGATACTGAAAATGTTTGATAAGTGGCAATCTCGGTATGTGAACAGCCTCTTGACAGGTGACGAGACTTGGCTCTATTATTAAGATGTGCCTACCAAGGCTTAAAACAATGTTTGGATCTTTGATGATGACACACCCGTAACTGTCAGAAAATCCCGATCTGTTAAGAGAAAAATTTCAAATCGTTCGGGATTGTGGAGCGTAACATTCTGGACACACAGATGACAATCACAGCTAAGTGGTACATGGCACAGTGCCTGCCTAACGTCATAGAGTCTACGAAAAACCTGTGGCCAAAGTCAAGAATGGACACTTGGTACCTCCACGATAACAAGGCTCCAGCTCACCGCGCCAAAGCCTGCACCGAGTATTTGACCACTACTGGACTGAAACTTATTGAGCACCCTCTTTACAGTCCAGATCTTGCTTCCTGAGACTTTGGACTGTTTTCGCATGTTAAAACCAAACAGTGTAAATGCAAAAGCATCGCAACTGAAGTCGAAATCGGGTTAAAATCGAGCTGACGTCGTTTTATGAGATCAGCGCATTATGGAGTGGTTTAACTTACGGACTCGTTTGATAAGTTTTTAATATGGAGGCTACAGATATACGAAGGAACGACAAGCTGTCCTTCCTGTTTTGCGAGTTGAAAGGCTAGTTTATTAATACGTGTATGTTAAGTCTAATATGAGTTATTCAATAACTATGTACGTGTTTATCGACTTCTTGCTAGACTCATGCTCATAGCTGAAGTTGGAGTTATATTACTATACTACCTGTATAATGCCACATATTTTAAAATACGTCCTCAGACGTGCATCAATCAATAAATCATTTTTACGAGTTTTTCGTTAGGAGCAGTCCTCCATCCACGTACTATCGGACCACCCTGTGTACTTACCTGTTGATTCGCAACTGTTTGTGAAATGTTAGGATCGGTCACAGTGATTGGTAGATCAACGTTTTTTGGCAACTGAGTCAGAATCTCAGCTTCATCATCCGTAATCTTCTTATTGTTCGTGCTGGGAACCTCGAGTGGTGTCATGATCGGCGAACCCAAAGTAAGGCTTGTTTCAAGAACGTTCCCGACGGTCACTGGATAAGGGGCATTGTTTGGGCTCAGCTATAAACAAAACATTAGTTGGTGTTCAAGGTGCGTTACCTATTGCTTAACTTGAAGCAGTTATAGTCGAAGCTAGATACAAAGAAAAGTGAAAAAGGTTAGTAGATATCTAAAAGTTTTAAATGGAAGGGAGTGTCTTTCTAATGACAAATACATAAAAAGATACAGCCAGATACGCGTTGTTTTTTTATAAACAATGGGAAAGGCCCAACATTTAGTATTTTGCTTGTATAATCTTCAAATTAAATTTTATAAACAATCGGTAGACAGGAGATTTCAGAGCATAAAGAGACCTTCAATTTTTTTTAAGAATTAAAATCGATGAACAATTAAGCAAAATACGGGGCTTTTCAGCAATATTGAATAAATCTAAATAGCTAAAAATTTGTGAGAATGAGGGCACCATTGGTGTTAATGAATGTGCTAAATTTCAGCCGAATCGGTTTGATAGTTTATGTAAAAAGTCAATTGTTTATCGCAGAGACGAATTATTTAACTGTTCTAGCCCAAGACATTTTACAAATATGAAATGGATTCTTGAAGGTTTCAAGTTCTAGAATTTATGCAAAAAATTAATTATTTAGTCCAATATTGTTGTTAAAAATGATGTTAAGAAATAGTCATTTTTATACTTACAAACATTTACAATAACTTGGTTATTCTTCAATATAATTTATTTCAACAAGTTGATCTGGATAGGTGGTTAAAAAACGCATATTTAAAAAACCTGCTACGGGTATATTACCAGTTACAAACATGGTTAGGCAATAAATTAGATCCAACCAAGTACGGATGGCAACCAAGTGACAACGGTTTCGAACTGATCTATACTATGGACAGTTTAATACCAGACGATACTATTAAACAAATTTCCTGCAAATGTACTACTAGTTGCCAAACGGTTAAGTGTAGTTGCAAAAAACATAGGTTATACTGCACACCTTTGTGCATAAATTGTAATGATGGTGATGATGACACAAAATGCTACAACCTTGATGTAATTGGAATTGACGATGATGAAGAGCAGACTGAGAAAATCGACGACTTATTTGAAGAAATGAGTTATACAAATATTGAAGAAGTAGAGCGTCCGGATGACAGATTTAGAAGGTAGGATCAAGATTAATTAAAAAATAAAATATTATAATAACAAGATACAGTATATATATTATATATATATATATATATATATATATATATATATATATATATATAATATTATAACACAACGAATGCAAATAAAATAAATATAAATGAAAGACAAACGTGAATCAATATTATTTACAATTTATTAGTAAAGGTTGTTAAGAGTATGCCAATTAACTGAATTATGAAATGTTTAAACAATTTTATTGTAAAATATAAATTATTTTATTAGAGTGAGAGTAAAAACAAATGATTCATTGTTAATTTATTATTTCATAGTAATTTAATTTTGAACTATACAACGTTGCGTTTTTCAAGTATTTTGACAGCACCAGTAAACTTACCAGAAGTTCATCATATAGGTTGGGAAATCTCAAAATTGGAGATACTACATACTAAAATATGTAAATTGACCTAAACATACCTCAGTCCAAAAGTTGATAGTTTGCGAGATACAGGGTGTCAAAGTTATAATTTTATTATCTATTTTTCCTTATTGCTTGAGAAGTATTTCAGATTTTGGCATAAAACTCGGTATAGAGAGGTTTTCTAGTATGAGAAACAAGAATCCGTTATTTATTATGGCCAAACTTCTAGAGGGCGCCACTTACCGCATTATTGCGGTAAATAACGTATCATAACTTTTTTGTGCTACCCTGTACACAACAACTGACCAAAAAATCTTATTTTCTCGTATTTTCAAAACAAAAAGGGTTTACTTGTTAGAAGTGTCTAAAGCTAATAGTTTTCGAGATATTTGTTTTTATAAGTTCCAATGCATCATTTGCACCTTGATGATAAAACATTTTTAAAACATGATAATCAAGTTGCTTTGGATAATATCTGAGTAGCGTTGCTATGGTTTCTAATGTTTGTCATAATATTGCTTTATACTTCATGAATAATTTTAAGTTGACAATAAGTTGTTGAACATCATCGAGTATACGTTTGATGAATATTCTGATATGCATTTAATGTACGGATTGGCAAGATGTAATGGAACTTTTAAAAACAAATATCTCGAAAACTATTAGCTTTAGACACTTCTAACAAGTAAACCTTTTTTGTTGTGGAAATACGGTAAAATAAGATTTTTCGGTCAGTTGTTGTATACAGGGTAGCACAAAAAAGTTATGATAAGTTATTTACAGAAAGAATGCTGTAAGTGGCGCCCGCTAGAAGTTTGGCCATAAAAAATAACGGATTCTCGTTTCTCATATTTTGGTCTGTAGTATCTCCAGTTTCGAGATTTCCCAACCTTTCGCAGACACCCTGTATATTTATATTGCAACTCTGCATCTGTGGTTCTTAGATATCGTGTTCTGGACGTTTTGTGCGCTCGGCGTCTGCATCTTGTGTCATACCCTAATAATACCGTCATACGTGTCATACAATATCGTCTTTTTTTAATGAAATTTTATAAAACAGTCGAAACCTTTGTCAAGCAAGGAAAGGTTTTTCAAACAGTGCTTATACAAATGTTTAGTAGTTGACTCTATAGAAGGAATTATAGAAATGGTGGTAAAGAGGATGGCAAATGCAATGTCTAATCAAGCTTACATACCAAATCCGCTAAAAATACAATTAAGGTTGTAAATATCTGTTAGATATCGTGTTTGTCACCTTTTTCAGCATAATGTTAGTATCAATGGTCAGCAAAAACATAAGCATAATAGAAAGCAAAAAAGTCGTTCAGTTTCAGAAAAGACAAGTTCTGTTTTTACAGTCCTTTTTGTAATAAGACGAAGTCTTGCAAGCAAATCCAGGTTGTCAAATTTCGTCACGGTAATTCAGCCGATGGCGGATTATTTTTGGTCTTCTTGCCTCTTCGTTTCAGCTTTAATTTATATTTATCAATAAATGGATGGATTGCAAATTTTTGAATAAACGCCAAGGTTTGTGTTAACAAACGTCAGGAAATTCTATTTAACCACAGCCTTTCTAGTTAACATAGATGGTTAAAGCTAACTATTGTTTTACTATAAACAATTGAAGAACGCTTTTTCATAGATAACTATAAGTTAAGACCAAGGTCGTGGTTAACCTGCGAGTGAAAAAAACGCGTCTAAGAGATTATATTCTCACCTGAGAAATAATCTTCCCTTGCGTGCGCTGCTCCGACTGGAACATGTCAGTGTCAGCTAGAGCGGCAGCCAAAATGTCCTGATTCTTAACCGGTTGAGAAGCAAAGATTGGGTTTCCTCCTTCTTCTGCGCTATCCCCTAAGCCAAATAACATCTGGTTGTCGGAGTTTGTGTTGATCAGGATCTGCTGACCGTCCGCTTGGATCAAAATACTGTTGCTGTCTGCATTTGCCAGTATGTTTGCCAAATCGGTGGTGCCTTCTAACGATAATTATTTTGTAGAATGGAAATACTTCCTCATCATACACTACTTAAAAAAATGATGTCTCGATATCTCGATAACCAGTGGTCGCATAAAGATTGTAAGGGTGTTTGATTGCAATTTTTATACCTCAATGTATTCCTGATAACCCTGCACGACGGCAGATCCATGCATTATAGTGTTTCTCCGGACCGACATATTCCTAAATATTTTTTTAGGATTCATATAGTCTTTCTAATTTTGGCCATATTTTAGAACATTTGAACCATTGTGGCCTCGCGTCAGTCGCGAGTTTAATTATAAATATTAATGCGTGCTCAAGCATAAATGTTCCGCTTAGTATATTTAACCGTTAACTATTATTATGTCCATATTTGGAAGAGTAGTTCCTTAGCTTCCATAAATTACACATCACTGGAATAGTTCTGTCAGATTTATCAAAGTACGAGTTATACTATTTTTTGCAAGTGAAACCAGCAGTATTTTTGAATACAGGATATGTCATAATTATAAAATGGTTCTTGTGTCAGAACTACTATTATTAAAACATATAAAGTATTTTCAATAATAAAATATCCCACTAGCTGCAGCATGAATACATAAATTGTTATTGTCGATGTTCTCGTTATCTTTCTCTAACCTGACAGCTAAGGGGGTAAGTTCAGATTATACGCGTCAAATGCACTTGCAATGGAATTTCTCTTCATTCCGTTAAACGTAGTTTATGCCTCCGTCATTCAAACTGGTAATTATTGAATTTTACATATTTCGTTATCTAGAATGACATTTTTCTTTTGCCTTCAACTCGGAGCTTAAGATATATTCGAACATTTGATATACCAATTCCAAATTCCAAGTAATTCCCTCAGCATTATTCTCTTTCATTTTTTAATTTTTGTGGGAGAACATCACGAGATAAAATCCATTAAACATAAAACGTCTCTTTTCTTCCTGCTCTGAGGCAAGTAGTACTCTTTGCCTCTTTGAGGGGTTCTTCAACCCTTCTGTGGTGATACTACATCCCGGGCACACTGCTTTCAAACTACTCAAGCCGCTCTGAAATTGCGGAACGATTGATTGCTTTTTTTTTTTTTGGCATTGGAAGTTGTGTGTTACTTATATTTCTCTAATTATGGACAAACACACGACGTCACAACATCCAAGACGAAGGCGAGATTCGAACTCGCGGCCCGGCCGGCCGGCTGATCAGTAGCACGACACTCTGACCAACGCGGCCAACCGAGGCCCCCGATTGATTGCTTGAGTTTTGTGGAGATGCAGAGGGGATCCTGTTTTTAGCACGTGTTCCTAGGCGGCAAAATCACGGGCCGTCGGGCTTCTTCCGAGGTGCATTTACGTTACCAATGTTAATGCATAGTGTCTTATTTGCCTCATATCTCAATTCTGAAATTTTCAATACTCTTTTATTGTTTTTTTTATATATCAGAGGCCCATAGACAGAAAACGATTGTATTATTTGCTGTAAGCTTATTGGCTGAAATTTGACGGTCAGTCCAATGTAAATTTGATAAGAAATAGGAAATTCCATTAAAGTTATCGTGATTTTAATGCCTAAAAACATAATGTTAGATAATGTTATATAAAATACAAAATTTTTAATGGAAATCAAAGATATCCAGAAGCATTTGATCGCAAATTGCATTTCAATAAGGCCTTTCTTCATTGGTTGAACTCACCGTCAAATTTTATTCTTATTGAAATTGAGACCATCTTTTTCGATTAAGCAAATCCTTTCAGAGATATTCGCATTTCAACAATATACTGCACTGTTAAATGGCTGGTCCAAAAACAAAAAGTTATGACATAAAATACCGTAGGCTGTAATTAGCACCCTCTACAAAGTATGTTGAGAAATATACATAATCTATTTCTCTTCCGCAGAAACCACAGATTGCCAATTTTATTTGAATTATTTCATGAATAAGCGAAATTTACTAAAACATATTTAGGCTCAATATCATTATTCTTACGAGTGTGATGTGTTGTATATCTGATCTTTTTAGATAAAAAACTCGCACAACAGGAATTGACATAGTTTTCAATTATAGTAAAAAATATTGTCTAAGAGCCGTTGTACACACAAGAGAATTACTCCGAAAATTATGGACATAATTCTGCCGAAAATTTTCATGGAAAAAATTGAAGATTTTCTCTACAACCTGTATGACACAAGCAAACAAAATTTCAGAGTAATTCATATGATACGCCTGCGCATTAGAGTAATATTTTCGAATGGACATAACCTTAACGGGTATGACGTCCAATATAATCTGAAAGACAACAGACGTCGTTGATTTAAATTTATTTTTGAAATCGAGATATTGGTAAATATTATAAAATTTCTCAATGCTTGGACTATCGCATCCAGCGCCTGACGCCGCAAATTTCTGTTTTTGTAATTGGGTGACTTCACCTTGTACAGGTTTGGCCATTTTTGGTACTCCTCCAACAGCCGTGTAACTTCTTTCCGATTCCTCGACATTATGAATAAACAATAACAATACACGCTTCTTCGTACGACTCGAACAGAACCACACCCACAAATGTTAAGTGAGGATATGTTGTTGACGTTGACATTTGATATTGACATGCACGGAAATAACCCTCTGCGCCGATTCTCGCGCATATTCTATAGAACGGGTTTTATATTTTTACCATGAAAATTTTCACAAGAATTCTTTTACGTGTAATACGACAGCAAACATTTTTGGCATAATTATGACCATAATTTTCGGAGTAATTCTCTTGTGTGTAAAACGGCTCTAAGAGGATAGAGGATATCAGAGTAAATTATTGAATACTATATATAAAAAAATACAATCTAACAAACATTACCGGATAGTGATTCCAAGAACTTCTGTGTAGCAATGGGATCGCCGGTGAGAATCAACTGTTGATTAGGCGGTTCAGTAGCCGGGGTGGTGGTGATAGCTTCAAACGTGGGTCCAGTTATTGAAGCTTTCTGTCCGCTGGTAGGTTCAATTACTTCTGTTCTTGCTTCTAAATTTGGCATTCGTTCTGTGTCAAGAACCGATGGTTGTTCAGGTTTTTCCTAGTCAGAAGAACGAGAAATAATAATTGTCAGATGTAACATAGTAGGTACATTTTTCGTCAGGTAATCCTTGGCCCTCTATTACAGACAGGAAACTATTTATAGTTTTTATTAATCGGCCCTGTTGCGATAGAGCAATCGTCAAAAAAAAAACTAATTAATCATTGGTCCTTCAATAATTTATCAGTATCACTGGATTTTGAAGAAATTTTGAAAAGCCCATCTAATGGTACCAGTTTTATGATAAAAAAAATCTTTCTGATGATTTTGAACGCAATTAAAAATTTCCTTAGAGTAAACAGAATTCTAAAAGAAGTCAAACTTTGTTAATATATTTCAAGACGTAGTCACGAGTTTATTCGAAGGACTAAAAGATTGTGAAGTCCAACAAAACTCGTTTTTCAAATTCATCCAATCAATTTTGTAACAATACGAGATGGCCAATTCGAAAATATGTGGAGTGGAATCTGCATTGAGAAATCGGGAAACTGCTGTTACAATATGTCATCTCGAAACGTCATAAAACTTATTTGCTCAGACTAGCCAAATATGAACCCTGTTGTAAAAGAAATTTTGCAAAAGGATTTATATATTATTTAGAGTGAATGCAAACCTCCCTTATCTCGAAATAAAAAATTCTGTGTAACTTTTTTTTATCAAACTATAAAGTTATAAATCTTTAGAAGAATTGAGATAGGGATGAAAACACCTTCCAAATGAGTATGTCCAGTTCTTTGCAAGAGCTAATTGTACATAAGACTGAATATGAAATGCTAGCCAAAAGTTAAAGCCTTTGTAGTGATTAGCATCGGAAAAATATTCAAAAATGCTCAAGCTGGCGGCGTAACTACTGCAACAAATTTGACATACTGGTTGAATTTTTAGTATCTAGCTCGACAATATCTCAATTATTATAAAACATAATCAAAAATGTTATTTACAAAAACTGTGAACTACTTGGAATATATCACTCCATACATTTCTTCATAGTGACATGACAATAAAAACGAGAGATACACGGAAAGCGGAACGAACTTTCCCAAAATCGTTTCTAATTTTTATTTGAGACAGGATTTCACAATAAACTGCACTTTGACATTGCCACTTTTTGATCTCTGTAAGGTGGCATAAATAGAACATTTTTCGTCTCTTCTCCCCCGTCTGAACTTTCATTTTTCTTACGTATACTCGGATAGCTTTGAATACTGATTTCAAATATTATAGCATGTCATACGTTATTATAAAAAAACGTTTCTTTGTCATATAGTTATGTAATTCATAGAATATCAAAGATGATAACATGTTTTGCATTGATATAAAACTTTCAAGTGCTTAACTTCAAATAGTAGGTTTGAACTCTTCGAAAGAGGAACAGCATAACGTAACTCATTTATATTATTTAAGGATAATGGAGACATATATGTAGACAATGTGCATGTTTGAAATGTTTTGTTTCGAATTAAAGACAGGAAAAAATAAAAACGACTTGGAGTAAATTTGTCTGTATGTTCAATAACATTGCATCATGGCTAGAAGTTTACTATAACATTTCACTCACGTCAACCCGTTGTTGACTTTTTACAGCAGCTTGTTGCGTTATCGGCAACTTCTGTTCAATAATGGATCCTCCGCACGTTTGCAATCCTCCCTGGTCTATTTGCAGTACCATGTTGCTAAGATCTCCCGCCAAGCCCAGGTTTGGATCCAAAGACATCAGAGCCTCATTATTTAGCGGCGTCAAATTTCCCGACTCGTCCAAGGTGACTAACATGTATGATTGCGGCTGGCCGTCAACAGTTTCGCTCGGCAGCGCTAGGATCTGACCCTCTGTAATAGTCGTCTGATTACCCATGGCATCCTGCAATAGATAGATAAATGTGATTTAATGCCAGAAGGAGGCAATCATTCTTGATGACAAAACTAAACTAGAATATAATTACATAAGTGGACTTTAAGTAGGTGAACTGTAGGACTCACATAAACTATAATCTGGTTTACATATTAAAAAGTTTGTAAGTTCACGGCGGAATATCTCTAAATTATTAATTCGTATGATAGCATCAGGAGACCATGTACATACATTTGCTTACCATTGTAAACTGAAGAGTGTTTCACAAGTGTTGATTTAGGTACTAGTAATTTAAGATCTTGTTTCCGTCTAATACTGTATATTTAATGTTTCATATTTAGATTTAGTTTCAAAAATGAGAGTTGCTGTTTCTAAAATGAACAATGACAGTCATTATGTTAAGATTTAGAAATAAAGGTCTGCATGTAGTTCTAGGATTGCTTTTAGTTATGCATCTAATAGTAGGAATGCTATATCTCAATCTACTTTCAAATAAGGCAAACTAACTGATTTTTCCTTCATTGTAAATAAATGTTCTTATGCAAAAGTAAATATTTGCTAGTTGAGTAAGCAATTTGTCTACATTGTCCAAAAAATTTGATGGTGTCTGTTTAATGTATCTACTCGTGATTTAAATTTATAAATTAAGTTATTGTTGTCACACCATTTTTTGATTGATAGAATATCACAATCAATTTTTGTCTTAATTTCGTTTATATCCTCGTCGCGCCAGTATTGTGAATCGCCAGCAAAAACTACGAATTTGCCATTTATGCTGAAGTTTAACAAATCGATGGTATGGACTAAGAATAGGATAGGATCTAATACTCACCATTTAGGTACCCCTGCGTTTATATTTTTAAATTGTTGTTGATAATTTTACAATTTGGGATCGATTACTTAAACATGTTTTAAACTAAATGAATGAAATTCCAGTACAACCATATTTGTTTAATTTTCTTAATAATACTATATATCATGATTTACAGTCAAAAGCTTTGGGAAAGTCGCAAAAAAGAGCTATTGAAATTTGTTGATCATTTAAATTACTTTTGGAGTAATGTCCATGGTATTTTTTTGTTTTTGAAATCCAAATTGGTTGTCACTTATAATTTTGTTGGTTTTTAGAAGTTTTATTTTTTCTATTAGTCTTGCTATAACAGTAATTAAACTTATGGGTCTATAATTTTCACGTTAATCGCTTGAACTTCCTTTATAAATAGGAATAACTATTGATCCGTTTAAAAATTCTGATCAAGAGCACCAAGTGGAAGATTCGCTATGACATTTAAAGAAATTTAATCAATACCTCATTTAATTTACGACTTTCCATGCCTACTTGGATTTATTTCCTGCAATTATTATTTTCTGTTTATAATAATTCATTTTTTTGGCGAAGTTGAGTCTTGCTTATATATTCTATGATACGTCATTTATAAATTGAATCTTTATTTTTTTATGAATTTCTTGTTATAGTGTAAGGATTTCAAATTATAAGATATTCTTAATCCTTTTGTGATCCACGGTTTTTTACTTTTAATTTTAACTTTTTGGTATGGGGAGCTTTCAAGAAAAATATTTACAAGTTGTTCATACAATGCTAGGAAGGGATTGTAAGAAATTAATCATTAAGTTTATTGTGATACGCCTGTTATAGAATTTTTAATTGTTATAGTCTCTAAAAAGTCTCGTATATTTATATCAATTTTGGTATTACAGTTGATGCGTGTTATCAGGACAGCTTCATGATCTGTGCAAGAAATAATATAGCTATTATTTATACGCTTTCGAATTATAATATCTAAACAGGTTGATTCAAAAACCTTTATATAGTAAGTAGGTGAAACAAGTCCCTAAACAACATATAAGCATAGGTCCAAGAATGCTCCCATACCGAAATAGTTGATGTTTAATTTAAAAATCGTGAAGAAATATTTATCCGAAGTGGATAAAGGTAATAAATCTTGTACATCCATTATCAACAGCATAAACATGCAGAACATTTTTCTCCGCACTGGTGTAAAAACTGGGAAATTATGACCTATACTGAACGAAAAACAAGAATATATTCTACACCATTGCCTTATGCTGCATTTTTGATCAGACCTCTAACTTTACATCAATTGCCTCTCTTGAGAAATTTACACCATTCCTTTTGAAGAAACATTGAATCGAATATTTGAAATATAATCGATATAAAAAATAGAATTTGGCATTAAAATATATACATAGTATATTAGCAGCAGTAGTTATAGTAGTAATAGTTTATTGGTATTATACAAAAATTGTTACAGACGACACACTTTGAATATCTAGCAAAAAATACATTTAGATGCAATGTGAATTACGTTTAAATGCGTTTATGGTCACTTAGTGTCAGATTTACAGACCTTCTTAAAGCTCCCTTGGAAACAATGGAACAATGATTCTTCCTTTAGGAAAGTTCAAGGGAGGATGTAAATCTTCATTTCACAAAATTGGGACGATTTGGTTTATTTGTGCTGAATATCATAATGCTAAATGATGTATTTGCTTCCTAGAATTATAGCGCAGTCACAGAGGAGTAAAAATTGCAGTGCTTCTGCTATCTGTTTTTATGTTCAATGATCCATTTAAATTGGACAAGTATCCCGATCTGCATCTTCTCCTCGCTTAACTTCTTTTTTTTCATAGTCACACATAATTTGTATAAATTTTGGGTATGAAATGTTTTTTGTGAAATACTATTATAGTAGTTGAATCCGAAAGTCTACAATCTGCCACGAGCAGAGCAATTCAACTCTTTTTTTATTGGGATTTATGCTTTTTATCGCGGAAATTGAGAAAAGGGAAAATGTCCTTGACCATTTTTGGAACTTGACCATCAAGGTCAAACACAAGTTTATCTTAATTTTTTGATAATTCAAAAAACTGGGTAGACCCCAGATAAACTGAATTTACTGTTACTAAGGATTGTTCCCTGACTACAAAACTCGACTTGACCTTCACATGACCTTGAAGGTCATAATTGTTAAGATCAGATCCAAGATCACCATTGGATATCTGGAGAAAAATTTTGGTAATATCTAGATAGTTTCCCTATACGACTACTGAATTTCAACTTACATATATCACCGAACCTCGGTTTGACCTTGATCATGAGGTCTCAAGGTGAAAAATATAAGAATGGTTAAGATCATCATTTACGGGCTCAAAAATGGGGGTTCGATTAACGTATCTCCAAATGCCCTTGAAGGTCAAGGTCAAATTCAAAGGCACCATTAGATAACCGAGGAGAACTCTTATCAATCGCGGAGCTTAATTTTTTCATACCATTATTAGTCCACAAATTATCGTGGGATTCCAGATCTTTTCAGACAGTACATTAAAGAGCACGCTGATTTTCGTCCAACGCCATATTTTTTCGTATTACCTGAATTACTAATTGATTTAGCGGCCTGCATGGCTGACTCTCTTCTTTGGTTCGGCTTATGGTTGCAGTTCCTATCTCGCTTTTCGCCGTCGACACGACTGGAGATGGAGCTACGCAGGAATCGACCTTGTTTATTTGAGAAACCGGCAGTTTCGCCTTTGTTTCAGATTTTCTGGCGTTCAACCGCTTGGAAGGTTTCTGTGAAGACGCTTTCGTCTCGGACGTTTTAGGTAATTGCTGTTTGGTGGTGAATTTTCCGCTGCTAGCTCGAATCGCCTCCAGTTGTTCGGCTACTTGTTTGTCCAGCTCCTCATCAGTACCTGATAGAATTTTATGATAAAATATGACAATCTTATAAAACATTGTCGGAAAACTGCATTTATAGAATACTTCGTTTAATAACAGATAATCACGAACATTTCAGGTTACTTGATTCAAATCCGACCTAAAAATTGCTTCAGTATTTCTAAGTATTATGGATGAAGCTCAGATCATAAGGCCACATTAAATATCAATTACCAGCAACCTTCTCATCGACCTCTTGACAAACATAGCATGGAAGATCCCACACAACCCTTCTGAAAAAAGGACTTTTTGTGAAATTTTCTGAAGATTTGCTATTATCTTCATTAGTTGACACAAAGGCAAAGGTCCTACAAACCGCCTTGATAGAAACGGACACATAAATTGTTATAATACCACATGTTTATATTATGCATTACAATATGTTTAAGCGATACACTGACATCAGCAAGGTGACTTCTTTATATGTATAAGACCAATATATGAACTGTGAGATCTATCTCAAACTTTATAATATTACTGCATTGATGCGATTATACAATATATACAGGGTGACTTCGAAGTTGAGTCATTTATTTTAACAGTGAGTAGATCTGATCAAAAGAAATGTTTTTTCCTCTACCATTTTTCTGGTAAAATTAAAGTAACAAAGTTATAGCCCTTTGGAAGTTTGAGTACCGCCCTGTCTCAATAATAATATTATGTGCTCGTGTTTGGCAACAACGGATATAATCCGCCTTATCGGTTCATCGCATCGGAAACAAAAAAGCGAAAGAATTTGGAATGATGTTTTTACAATTATTTTATTCAGTTGTATACAGTCAGTGTCAGTCGGTAACGCGTGAGTGAATAGTGGTGTCTGTTGCGTGGCTCAAACGAAATCAAAAATGGCACATGTTTACGAAAATGCTGAACTTGTGGACATGATTCTTATTTACGCGGCATCACGGATTTATGCGGATCGGTTTCCCAATCGAGTGCAACCAACCCCTCGTGCCTTTGTTAATGTAGTACAAAGGGCTCGTGAATCAGGTGACTTAAGACCTCACAGGGGAGGGAATGCCAGTGCTCCAAGACCGCACGATCAAATACAGGTCCGCACTGAAATACTTGTCGGGAGGATACTTTATAAAACAAGGTAACATTTTTTTTTAATTTTATTTTTATTTCTACACACATATTTTGGTTTATCTTCCTTCTACAATCATTATCTGAAAATTAATAACTCAACTTCAACGTCACCCTGTATATATATATATATATATATATATATATATTGGGTACTTCGACAGTACCCAACAAGTACCCAACAAAAGGCGGAAGCCTTAATTTTTCACCTAACTGGTCTAGACGACCACGCCTCAAGTTATATATATATATATATATATATATATATATATATATATATATATTAATAATAAATTATGTAAGTTGATTTTACATTATTACTGTTATGGAATAATCCATTGATAATTATATACATATTGGCTTTACTAATCAGTCCATCAAACTATTCTCGTCTTATCTTACTGATGGTCGCTTGTACGTAACTTACAATGGATACAAGTTTCAGCAGTATTTGGTCACTTCAGGGGTGCCCCAAGGGTCAGACTTAGGTCCTTTCCTGTTTCTACTAGTTATCAATTATCTCTGTGATGAACTTTATAGTACACTGCTGTTCCCTGGCGACTCAAAATTATTTTATCTAATTAACAAAATTAATGATTTAATTGATTTCCGCTCGATAACCTTCAAATGCCAGTAAATTTAAAACTGTAACAACAAGCAGAATGAGACTATATACAGGGTGTTTCAGAACTAAGGGATCAAACTTGTAAGGTTTATTCAGTGCAACAGTAGAAAACATTTGAGTATAGGGACCCATATCCAAAAAAGTGTCACTACGGCCCCAAGACGCGTTAAAATTTAGCAAGACGATGAATTGCCTAAATAGGATTTAATGCATTTAATTTTTGCCTTCTGTACATGATATCATCACAACAATTGTTCAAAATGTCTTCCTACAACCTGAATACACCGATTTAAACATCGCACATGATTTCGGCGGACTTGACTAAAAATTTGATACTCGTTTTGACTGATTTCAAATGCTGCTGTAATTTGTCTAATTGTCTTGCTCTGTTTCTACTGGAGTTTCGTAAACCAAAGACTTTACATGTCCTCACAGGAACGGTGTATTCATTTTGAACAATTGTTGTGATGATATCATGTACAAAAAGCAAGAATTAAATGCATTAAATCCTATTTAGACAATTCATCGTCTTTCTAAATGTTAACGCGTCTTAGGACCGTAGTGACACTTTTCCGGATATCTGTCTCTATACTCAAATGTTTTCTACTGTTACACTGAATAACTCCTACAAGTTTGATCCCATAGTTCTGAAACACCCTGTATAAATACATATTAAGTGATCTAAGTCTTGAATGATGTGATACTATTTGTGACTTGGGAGTAGACAGTTTTGATCATTACGTATCTCAAATAATTGCGGATGCAAGCATGTCTTTTGGTTTTATACATAGTTAGAAATTATAAACTTAAACATATTTGATATTGATGCCTTGAACATTTTATACTTCGCCTATGTAAAATCAAAATTGGAATATGCATCAATAGTTTGGAGTCCTTACTACCAATGCTGCCTCGACAGCATTCTTCATAGCTGATGGATTTTACACAGAGCATGGATGTGATTGCGGATTTCTATTAAATAGATTTAGGTTAATCGCACTGAAGAACCGACATCAACTCAATTATTTTTCTGTAAAAGTTTCAATAGATTCGTCTAAACTGTTATCCCAATGACGTCTTACCCAAATAGGCCCTGCAAGTGATTCATAAGTCCGCCGTTTGTTATGGGAACCTCAGTGGCGGGAATTATAGTAAGAATCACGGAAGATGACCTTTACGTCATATCATAAATTGTACTGAAGTTATCAATGGACGTACGTCGATGATAAAATCATGATGTCAGGAATGATGACAACAAATTTATGTTATGATTTTGCGAAGTTAGGTTATTTCACTGATTATTTTTATTTTCATTTTATTTCATGGTTTTGAGTAATAATAATCTTAGTGCGGAGCTTTAAAAAAACAGTTATGATTAGAATACCTTAAGACAGAAACACCAAAGTATTATTCGAAAACAACCTAATCTGCTTTAACATAACCTAACTAGTCATCTTTCAAATATGATCGATCATGCAACATGAAAACATCGTCTATCTTTGTCGGATACATGCAAATAAGCACTTCAGTTTGTTTAGACAATAAAATTCTCTTTGTCTCTGTCTAACATATCAGAAACTTCATTAAAAATATTCACAAATCGCTGTCGTTTGTCTTTCATACACACTAAAATGATGACGTAATCGTCATCTTTCGTGATTTCGCCTTTACCAACTTTCATTCATAATTTTCAAGGTCAACTACGCAATTTCCACCATATACTGAGTGGGGCCGTGGCAAATGCTTGTTCCGGAAGTTGTTGTATCCAGTATACAACTTCTTCTCGTTCAAGTGATTGTCCACGCGTTAAGGAATACCTCAGTACCGATTGCCGGGTGGCGGTACAAGTCCGCCAACGGGCCACTTTAGGTCTATTCAACATCACTAACACGTAAAAATAAGGTGGTGGACAAGGACCAGTCGACCGAGGCAGTACCACCCGCTAGCTTTTCCCAGGGTGTCTTATAAATGTCCGCATGTTTCCACACCTAAGCTATGCAGTCGGTTATCCTCCAAAACAAAGAAATTAATGATTATGGATCCCTCGAGCACTAAAAACTCCGGACGTAAACTCACTCCACTCTCGGAATGTCCGGGTGGAGGGTGGGCTCGAGGGAACAACATCGAAGATAAAATTTTGTTTTTCGAACATCTGCGGGATTAACAGCAACATTGATGCTGTTCATCACTACCTGCAATCCAATCCTTCCGCCGTTCTTTTCTTGACGGAGACAAAAATCTCAGAGTCTGCACCGATTAACCATCTTAACTTCCCAAACTACGAGGTGCACTCCAATCTGAGAAAGAACGGGGGAGTTGTGGCTTTTGTCCGTAGCAGTCTTTCCTGCTCCAGAGATGTTTCTGTGGAATTAGACCTGGGTAACTCAGACCACGGTGTTGTGCAGGTTAGGTTTCGGTCAGAACCCGCTGTGGCAGCAGAAACTCGTACAGGCCGCAAAACTTGGCATTACGGACATGCCAACTGGGAGGGGCTCAGAGATTTCTCCTCTAGCTTTCCTTGGAACGATGTCTGTTTCACTGACGCGGATGCGTCGGCTGTCTGTTCTTCGATAACCGAAATTACCCACGTTGGAATGGAGGAATACATCCCTCACACAGTGAAAGTGCCTAGACCAGGGTCCAACGGCTGGTTTAACAAATCGTGTGACGCTGCTCGCGAGCAGAAGATCAAGGCCCACAGAACCTTCTTACAAAACCCCACTGTAGAGAACAGACAAGCCGACGTTGAGTCCAGAAACAAATATAAAGCAGCCGTTCGCAATGCCAAAAACCAGCATGATGTAAAAGTTAGGCACAGGGTAATGTCGCAGCGCAATGGTAGTCGGTCTTTCTGGACGCTGGCCAAGCAGATTGAATTGAACTTCTCACACAGTAGCCTTCCACCACTCATGTGTCAGGATGGAACTATTGTATTCAACTCAAAGGCCAAGGCGGAAGTGCTAGCCAAGATCTTTGCTGCCAACTCCACCATGGACGTTCCCCCCAACGCCCAAGTGCCGTCAATTCATAGGGTTCCCTACACTATGCGGGAGGTAACATTCAGGCCTAAGACCGTAAGACGAGTGCTCTTGTCACTCGACATCAACAAAGTTTCTGGTCCGGACTTTATTACTGCCATTGTACTGAAGAGGTGTGCACCGGAGCTTGCTCCAGTTCTTTCGCGTCTCTTCCAGATATCTTATGAATCCGGCACCTTCCCAGAAAACTGGAAATTTGCTCATGTCCAACCCATCCCAAAAAAGGGATCTAAGACCGACCCTTACAACTACGGGCCTATAGCTCTGCTTTCTGTTTTAAGTAAGGTGATGGAGAGGTGCATAAATCGCGAGCTTCTGGACTACCTCGAACGTCACGACTTGATTAGCGACAGGCAGTATGGTTTCCGGCACCAACGATCCACAGGGGACCTCCTAGCTTACGTCACTCAATTGTGGAGTAAACTCATCCAGTCTTATGGTGAGGCTCATGTCGTTGCTCTTGACATCACGAAAGCGTTCGATCAGCTGTGGCACGCTGCCCTCTTAAGCAAACTTCCATCCTATGGCCTCCCAGAAAAGCTTTGCAGATGGGTGGCTGACTTTATCTCTAGTCGCAAGATATCCGTCGTAATTGACGGGTTCTCCTCTTCATCCCACAACGTCAACGCGGGTGTTCCCCAGGGATCGGTCTTGGCTCCAA